CTGTCCCTCCTTTCAAACCCTTGTGTTCTCCTGTTTCTCTTGTCTTCCTTCTCCTTCCTCTCACTTTTCTTCTGCTTTTCTTAACCTAAAATCTATTAGGGTTCAAGACTGATTGCAGTCTTGATCTTCTACTTGGTATCAGAGCCTATCTAGGGCTTCTCATGTGTGTCTAGTCCAGCCGACCACATGAGGACCAGCTAAGGCTGGAAGCTTATGAAGAAGTATTCGTCGACTGATTCTTGGAGATTACCAGGAGAGGTTCGCAACTGTTGAGGACTTGCCACGACTTGCAGAGAGATGGTAATCAGGAAGAAGCAGCGAAGGTTAGGGTTCAGGTAACCTTGGAAGGCAGTGAACAACATTCCATAAGTAAGTTTTATTTAGTTTCCAGAGACTGCTATCGGTCGAGATAGGTTGGACCTATCTAGAAGGAGAGGCCGAACTGCTTTAAAGTTTTTCTCTCTAATCTAGGGTTTGACTATTGGGCCGAACCCCCTTCTCTTAGAGGTGATCAGTTTTAGGGTTTCATATTGACCCTACGACAGGTCTTAATTGTACGGATTGTGATTGCCGATTGATTTCAGATCAGATTTGTATTGGTTTCCTGCATATACTATGATTACAGATTGGTTTCAGATCAGACCTGCATTGATTTCATACTGTTTTCTGGTTGTGACGTCCAAGTGCTATTTTCTGGTGTAGTGGCTCTAACAGTTTGTAGCTACTGATTCTTGACTAAAGATGGAGTTTAAAAATTAGGGAGAAAGTAGTTTTGGGAACAATAGTTATGGTAGTGTATCTGAAACCGGGTTTTAGATTACAACTGTGAGATTTGATGGGTCAAATTACTTGGAATGGGCTCAATCAGCCATGATGACTATTGGAGGAAGGGAAAAACTGGGTTACCTCTTGGGAGATGTGAAAGAACCTTCTAAGGAGGACCCAACATACACCAAGTGGGTTCAAGAGAACTATTTGGTTATGGCATGGCTRTGTAATTCTATGCAGCCACATATCAACCGAAATTACTTATGGGCAAAGACAACCAAGGAGATATGGGATGTTGTGAAAGAAACCTATTCCCAACCCCTTAATGTTGCCAGAGCCTATGAACTGAAGTGTGAGGTGAACAACCTTAAACAAGGAGAGAAGTCAGTTTCTGTCTACTTCTCTACCTTGAAATCCTTGTGGCATGAGATTGACCATCTAGAGAC